CTCGATGCCAACTCTGCCCACATATCTACACCAGCAACACCATCACAGGACCTAACCAGATCAGCTACAACATCACCGGCTCATTCACCTGCACGTCCACCAATGTTATATATGCCATCATGTGCCAGCAATGCCCCTCTGCTATGTACATTGGCCAAACTGGACAGTCCCTACATAAAAGGATAAATGGACACAAATCAGATATTAGGAACGGCAATATACAAAACCCTGTAGGAGAACACTTCAACCTCCCTGGATACACAATAGCAGATTTAAAGGTAGCCATCTTACAGCAAAAAAACTTCAGGACCAGACTCCAAAGAGAAACTGCTGAGCTCCAGTTCATTTGCAAATTTGACACCATCAGCTCAGGATTAAACAAAGACTGTGAATGGCTATCCAACTACAGAAGCAGTTTCTCCTCCCTTGGTGTTCACACCTCAACTGCTAGCAGAGCACCTCACCCTCCCTGATTGAACTAACCTCGTTATCTCTAGCCTTACTCACTCTTGCTTTCATATTTATACCTGCCCCTGGAAATTTCCACTACCTGCATCTGAAGAAGTGAGTATTCGCCCACGAAAGCTCATGCTCCTATACGTCTGTTAGTCTATAAGGTGCCACAGGACTCTTTGCTAAAATTACATCTATTATTTGTATTAGAAATGGATCTGATTAGCTCGAGAACACCAGAAATTTGGCAAAGTTCCAGCCCCAATCAAACTAACATTGTGACTCTGATCTATTTCTCACTCACATCAGATCCTGTTTTGAAATGTTTAAAAATAATTTCTAACTATGATGGTTGAAGGAAAGTATAATGGCATATTTTGGGCATAATTCTGCCAATACTGTTGGCCTCTATAAAGTTTTTGTGGGCATGGAATGAGGGATTATATGATCGGCTCTTTTATTTAGAAATGCTTGTATCTCTTCAGTGACTTGACTTACTTAATTCTGTTTATGACAGCATGGGGAAATATTTGTTTAAAGTCTAATCTGTACAAATGTAGGAGTTCAATATATTATATATGTCTCTCCTATCTCCTTATATTTTCTCCTTTCCAGAACTGAAGGGTCCCAGGCTCCAGCGAACACATTCAGGACAGATCAGCAAGGAGGCAGGCAGCTGCAGGAAGGGTGGAGGCCAGCTTCACTCTGGGATAGACACATTGCTGAGCAAAGTGAATGTGAAATTTATTTTCCTCTTTCTCGTAGGTGCCGGGGCCGCAAGAAGCCGGGTAAAAGATCTCCAAGAGACTGTTATCTGTTCAATTTGCCTGGCTTATTTTAACGATCCGGTGATTCTCGAGTGTGGGCACAATTTCTGCCGATCCTGCATCGTTCGGCACTGCAAGGAGTCCAAAGTCTCCCCCCGGTATCCCTGCCCTCAGTGCAGAGAACTGTTCGGGGAAGGGGAATTCCAGCCCAACCGGCAGCTGAGGAATGTAGTTGAAATAGCCAAAAAATTCCCAGAGCCGAGGGGGAAGAAAGTGTGTGAAAAACATGAGGAACTTTTGAAACTCTTCTGTGAAGTGGATCAAACCCCCATCTGTGTGGTGTGCAGACGGTCCCCCGCTCACAAAGACCACGCCGTGCTTCCTATTGAGGAGGCTGCCCTGGATTACAAGGTAACAATTAGTCATTTTTGCATTGCAAGTGCCTCCCAGCCCAGACCTGCTCGAAGAATCAGAGCAGCCATCTGAGAACTATAAAACCAGCAATGTCATAAAACTAGTTTCCTACAATGACAAGGTAGAAAAGCAGAAGGGATTTCATACAGGAAGAACGTTGAGGAGACATGTTTTTAAGGCCTGCGCTGCATATAGTTTTTGTACTGATCTGTGTTGGGGAGGGCTGGGATTTTTTTTCTTTTCTTTCTAAAAACAAAAGAGTTATGTCAGCAAAACTACCGGTGTGCATACAAGTTGTACTGGTATAAAGGTGCCTGATGCCAGGAACGCTTGTTTCCCTTTCCATACAGGAATAAGCTACACCCGGTTATACAGGTGTAACTACACCCACGCTAGCAGGGCTGTATGGCTTTAATAGTACCAGGAGATGTAAAGCAGGGTATGATTTGTGTGCCCTAGAGCAAGGTCATCCTCTGTGTAGGGAAAAATCCATGTGGGGGCAGGATAGTCTACAAGTTCCAGCTCACACAGTTTCCTTTTAATCGTTGCAGGGTGGGGGGAGCAGGGTTTGGTTCTCATACAGGATGGACAACTGCTGGGGTCTGGCCTATTCCAGCAGATTTCTTGAAATCTGCGGAGGCAGGGGTAGAGGGATGATATTTTCAAAATGAAGATCCAGGGTCCTGTTATCTGGGGGGAAGGAGGTGGAGGATCAGGGAGGAGAACACCCCGGCTTTGGCAACTGGGAAAGAATTATGTCCGTTCCTCCTCAGCCAAGCAACACCCCCCTTTCTCCTTCTCGTCCCTCTCCATAATGAAAACCAAGACACGTTAAATACCTTTTATAGCAGGGAGTCTTGAAAATGTAACTGATGTTCATTAATCACTATGGTTGCAAGGCTCAAGCAGCTCGGCTGCACTTTTTGGGTAGGGGTCGGGGGAGGGGGGTAAAGAAGAATTAAAGCTGCCACATGCCCCCAGTTTCTGTGTGTCACTGGGTTAGATCTGTTTGGACAGTGTCCCAGTGACTCCTCTCACTGACTCTCCCCTACATTCTCCAGCAATCTCAGTGCTTGGGGCGGGGGGGGAGGGGGGGCGTGGTCAGGAATTGGTTGTGCGTAGGGGGAGGGGGGAAGATTGTTTCTCAGGCCCACTTAGAAATGCCAAGGCCGGTGATATATCAAAACATGCCCTGCCATGCCCGAATGTGGTTTGGAGACTGCTCAGAAAATTCGCAGTGCTCATGAGCAGAGGACGAACACACGTGCCCTGAAGAAGTGAAGCCTCAGTCAAGCCCCGTCCTTAGCTCAGTTTCTCTGTCAGTGAGGCCTCGATTCACAGTATTTACTTAGGTGCCTAAACCCCAGTTGGAGCCTCCACTGCAATTCACAAAACTCCTGCTGAGCCCTGTCGGTGCCTAAACTCCCTCGGCCTCTGTGTTTTCAGTAACTAGTTCCCTCAGCACCCGTGTTTCTGCTTCTGCCCATGCGCACTGCATCTCGATGCCGGTCTCCCACCTAAGCCCCAGGGAAGATCAGCCTTAGGCCACCTAACTCCTGTGTGGGGCCTAATCTGGCAGGTGGCCTGAGGCCCCTCAGGTGAGTTCACACACAGAACGCTCTCCCTCATCGTCGTTAGCCCAGTGTTTAGAGCACTCACCTGGGACATGGGAGACCATCGGTTCAAGTCCCTCTTCCACCTGGTGAGGAGAAGGGATTTAAACAGGGATCTGCCACCTCTCTATGGGATATTCTGAGGTAGGGCTCCCTCCACCTCTCTTGTTGAAGCTGTTTCACTGTTCTGTGCTTTTGTTGGCTTTCCTGCAGCTCCAACCGATGCTTCATCATGTCCGTTTGCTCCCCCATTAGCCTCAGCATCTCGTCCTGCCTCCACTCTTCGTGCTCACTTAATTCTTTCCTGGCCTCTGCCACTGAATGCCTCCATGCATTCAGCTGTGCCCTATCAGTGCGGGAGGACTGCATGAGCTTGGCAAACATGTCATCGTGAGTGCGGTTTTTTCGCCTTCTAATCTGCAATAACCTCAGGGATGGAGATGATATGGGGGGCATAGAAACATTTGCACCTCCGGGGGAGATAAAAAGGGAGAGTAAAATTCAAGAAGATACATTTCTGAGCGCAAAATAGATACTCTTTCACAGTGAATCAAGCAATTCACAGCAGACAGCACATGTGCTTTAGGTAAAGGTCGCATTTTGCCTTTTATATTGAGCGCCTGCCAGTATGGTGTGACGGAGCAGGGAGCAGGGCAGATTTGACCTGGGAATGTTGCAGGGGGGTTGCAGTGGGGATGGGGGACTTCCCTTGAAGGGAGCTACCTGAGCTGTAACCTGAGCCAGGAACGGGGGTGGGGAGAATTAACACCTTCTGCCCGGGAGACTGAACAAAGGAGAGGAGGAGCTGGGGGGAGGGGGAAGAGAGGAGCAGCAGGAGGAGTTTTGGGTTTAGTTT